CAAGGTTGTAATTTTCTTGGGTTTTTAAGTAGTGAAGGATCTGTGCTAGCGACCTGTGGGGCGAGGTGAGCCGGGGGAAGTCCTGTGCTGGGAGTCTCTTTAGTTTTTCTCCCTTCCTGTGGCCCGTGGCACCTGACCCGCTTGAGTTATGCTGGGGGGACACATGTGCAGTTGCTTTCTGAAGAACATTGTCTTGATTTTTGCACAAAAGCTTCCTTAACGAACAATAAAAACTTCTGTAAACCTATAAGCTTGCGTGTTTCGTTTCCTTGTTGTGTGCTAGTTGTTGAAGGATCTTACTAGCTTCCTCTTATCTGTGGAGCCAGGAGAAGGCATGTCCCAAAATGTCACTGGGAATCTGGGGCTGAATGGCAGGATTCAGGTTGCCATTGAGTTGCCATCGCCTCGCAACATGCGTGTCCCGTCAAGCCTTTGCGCTGTTGAGCTCAGCCGCAGGTTAAAGAGGCTTTCTGGGGATTTCCCCCGGACGAACGCAATGCCTGACGTGAGGCAACAGCCCCGTGTCGCAATTTCTCTCCCTTGCGCAGGCTGGAGGGAGTTCTCGCCGAAGCTGCTTGATACCAGGCTGCACTGCTGACTTGCATTTCATGTGGCTTTCCTTTTGTCTTCCTGCCTTGCTTTATTTTGAATAAAATAAATGTCTTTTAAAGGCTTCAAGCGAACTTCTCGACTGCCTCTAAATATACCATAAATTTACTGGTCTTTACTGTCTGCCTTTTAAATTTTTTTTTTCCAGGGTTGATGCTCTAATTCGGAAAACCGCTGTATCGTGTGGCACGAGGACAGTTTTTTTCCCCTGCTGTGCCCACCCTTTGCAGCCAGGAGCGGCGAGGTGAGCGTTGAGCAGCAGGTTCTTGGGCTGGTTTTGACTTCCCGGGAATAACCTGCCGGGCTCCGGTCCCTCCCTCCACTTGCAGGCTGGTGATGATTTTATAATCAAGGTGTAAGGAGAGGGGTGTGGTAATTGCCCTGCGTAGGTGTGGGTTCTCACTACTTCTCCCAACCCATCCAAGATTCCTCAGACTGGGAGCAGCACCGGAGAGGAACCAGCCACTGGGGACTATCTTAGGAACGGCATGGAGAGCAAATGGAGTGGCTGGGTGCTGATCCTTTCTGTGTGCCTGGGCTGCTATGGAGGTAAGGCCAGGCCTGGGGAGAGCCTGGAAAACCCCTCTGAACCCCCAAACCCTTTCCAATTGCAGTGTTTAAGCTCCACAGTTTTGGAGTTCTGCTGGAGGAGGAGGAGAGCTGGGGCAGGTGCCACCACCTTAGACGTGAACATTGCAGCTTCAGCCCTTAAAAGATGATTTTTGGGGCAAAAAGTGGTTTGCTCCCTCCCTTCTCTGGACTTGGAGCTGGTGTTTTGCTGGGGTGTGGAAGGAGGGAGGCCAGTTGATGGGGTGTGCTGGCAGCAAGGGAGGAGG